TAAACACTTGATCTTTGTATAAAGGTATGCATACTACTGTATCAGATATTACAGGTACCAATATTGCACACTCAAAAATTTATGTTAACGCCGTCACCATAGTATGAAATTAATGTGGTAGAAATTTAGGTTTCAAAATTTTGTGATCTAATTTTTACGTAGTAAAATTATTGAATATGGCATGTAATTTTATGTGTGATATAAATTAAAGGACAAAGCTGACTATGGCATGGTACAGCTTTCAGCTGTGCAATGCTTTTGCAGATACAAGTCAGCTTGATTTTATTGTATAATTGTTTTCCCTCCACTCACGCCCTTAAGTGTACATGTCCTACATCTTTTACCTTGCATGTGTATGCTATGCACCCTAACGCTCAAAATAAATAGATGAATTAATCCAACAAGTCATACAAGGCTTGCCTAAGCTGTGACTTAATAATCACATGCATTCCATGGTATCTACATGTACACATTTAATATGCATTTTAGTGAAACTTTGTTGAATCCATCATTTCCTAATAATTATAATTTTGATGAAATTTATCTCATTTAGCCTGAAATAAATTTTGCTGTTCATTCACACTATGACACTCAGTTTATGTTAGTGGCATGCACTTGCACTGACACTATATACAATACTTCTCCCTTTATTCAACACTATTATGACAATATGTACTGACACAGGCTTGCATTTGCAACTTGCATGAATAAAAAGATCATTCTAGAGCCTTTTCTAATAGTAATCTATTTAATTGCTGTCACTACTCATACTGGTAAATCCTATCAGTATTACCCTATCTTTAATATTCTTGTACATGTACATAGTTAACTTTGAAATAGCCTACATGTCAGTCGATTTTAACTAAAATTTACATTTATTATTACCATACACATTATATGGCGACATATTTTGGTGGAAATGAGTTGTTCTGAGTCTACTCTGATTTGAACATGTACACTTATGCTCCTCCCTTATCTACTGTAGGTTGCCTAAATTTCCTTGCCAGTTTTTTGAATGTTACATCATCTAATCGTTTAGCAGTGCAGTCATCATTAACTGTGAGTTAGTAGTAACTAGTAATCATTAAAGTATGCATGTACATTTATAGATTCTGCTTGTACATGTACAAGATTGTTAGTTATTTTCAGCTTTAATAACAGTCCTGCCATTCTCACACCTAGCATTTAATACAGTTACTGTAACACACACATGCAGGTGATACCAGTCGTGGCACACAATATTCTTTAGAGAAATGTTGTAGCAGACAACACTTTGTGATGATTGATATTGATATAGTACATTTTACATTAACGTGGCCTACTCTAATAACTGCCTTTTATTTCTCGTTGTTGACTTGTACTTATGATTAATAATTTTTGCTTTTTTTTGTTTTTCTGTATTTTGTAAATGTGGTGGTATGTGTGTGATGTTTGAGAGTACCGTTGTATGTGTGTACTATAATACCATTGTGTGATTGTGTTGTATGTACCATTGTAATGAAGATGAGTGTTTGGTTACATGTACATGTACATATCTTCTCCTACAGTCCTAGACTTCATATAATCCTTATAGTTCATTAATCTGTTTTATTTCTCACTTTCTTTTTTGTGTATTTTTGTTCTTTCTGTGTTATGTCCGTTTAATTTTTATCAGCTAAAATTAAACTCTCATTTGGTCTTATTTGATGCACAAATCAACAAGTAATTATTATGAAATTGGAGCTTTATGTGTTATTCTTTTTCAAAAGCTAGTAATGATAAACCAAAGTAGAAGAATGTAAAACATTAAAGGGCTCAGCCCCTGAGCCACTCTATTGTTGTGCTTTATGACCCATCTTACTGCTAGCGAAGTATTTGGACTCAGTTTAGTCTAATCTTGCTAAGCATTTGCTGCAAATAAGCCCAGACTTGCTGATAGCCACCATTTTAATTCATTGTGACCACACCCACTTTTAATGAAGATTAGGCTACTTCACTTTAGTATTAGTTGGACGACCCGATCCCCGTACTGACAACATCTTTCTCGTCTTAGTGGGCTTTGCTCAATTGCGGTAAAAGTAATGTTAATTTTTAAAACCTCAAAGCAAAGTCTAAGGTCTTTCTAAAATCGTGTGCACTGTCACATCTATTATTAATATTCTTATCACAAAAAATTGTTTTCTTAATACTATGCAATTATTAATTCATGTTATATTTAATTTTTAATGTAAATTGCTGTGATAAATCAGATCCGAATTGTGTAGTCAATCTCTGACTGAAAGTGTATACTTGTGAAACAATACACGTTTTATGCAGTCACCACTTCTTTTACATGAGTTAATTAATGTGTTCAGACATACATGTACAAGTAGGGCCACTGCTGTAGTTAGAGAGTACTCAACATAAAAATTTGTACTCTTTAATATTTTGTGGCTTTGTTCTAATACATTCATGTAATTTTCATTTTTGAAAATTAGTTTACAATTTGGATAGTTTTAGTTCTTGAGCTTTCTGAGACCTTTTGTCAATGACTATACCAAGATATAGTATATAGTTTATTAGGTTAATTGTAAATTCACTACATTACATAATTAAAAAATGACATTTAGTAACTCTTGTAAGACATTACAGCATATTCTTTGATCAAATTAATATTAATAGTGCTTAAATTGGGTTTATTTTTGTTCACAGATTTATCTCAACTATCTGGCAATACGAACTACAAATTTGTTATTTTAATAGTAACATCCACATAGTCATAAATAATTGGCTATTGTCTTTACTGCTTTAGGTTTGCATTTTGTTACATTTTTAGCAGCAAAAATTACTTTTTTAGCATACGTTTTTAGCAGCAGTGAGTGGACAGGGCTGTCCGGGTCACCAATTTAGCGTATGGTATATGTATGTTGCAGCTAGTGATAGGGAAGCAGATATGCTGCTTGCCATAGAGCGCTCACATTTACCTCGAGTTGACTTGACACCCAAACACTGATCAATTATAAAACACAACATGCAATATATATTAAGAGATATCATGAATATGCATGAGATGTGATGTCATGAGTTCACTACAAGTGTATCAATTGTTACTAGGAGAAGCAACTGATGGTGAGGCTAGACCTGTAGGAAGAGGAACGGCTACACGTAATAGTGAGTTCTTTTATGCTAGCAGTAAGTGTATCTATTGTTACTAGGAGAAGCAACTGATGGTGATACTAGAGCTGTAAGAAGAGGAACAGCTACACGTAATAGTAAGTTCTTTACGCTAGCAGTAAGTGTATCTATTGTTACTAGGAGAAGCAACTGATGGTGATACTAGAGCTGTAAGAAGAGAAACAGCTACACGTAATAGTAAGTTCTTTTATGCTAGCAGTGAGTAAGTGTATGTCTTAAGCTGTGTAGAATGAGGTATGCAGCTAGTACCAATAGCTCAAAATAATATCAGGGCAAAAGAGAGTGTGTGTTTGAGAAAATTGTTACTTTTAAAGTTTAAGCTTACTGAGTAAAAGTTCTATTAATGATTGGCACCACCCATTTTGTGGCACTTGTTTTATCTAGGTAAACTATACTTAGCCATCTCATGAAACTGCATTAT